GTTGAAATGACTACTACATACGCCAACCGTTACAGTGAACACATTTCCCGGGAGCCAATGGCCTCAGCGACCATAGAAATAGCTCATAGTCCAGGATCAACGTTTACTTCATTTGTTCCCCTCTCGCTCATGCAGCGTGTTTGTGAATACACGTGCAAGATAGGGAGGGCACAGGTGAATTTCGATAAACGTCGATAAATGTCCTGGAATTCTGAACGTTTGTCAGGATACAATTAAAAATTGATGGCTTGTAGCCATAACTGACCNGTTACAGCTTAGAACATCACATTGTATCATCAGTCGATTCAATGTGAAAAAATTCACAATCATTATTATTATTATTATTATCCTCATCGTCCATGTCGTCGTTGCCACCGTTTTCATCATCGTAATCTATATTGTGCAGTTAGTTAACATTCAATAATTCTTTGCATCGAAACAAACAATTATCTTTCAAAGATAACTTCATAATTGCTTTGCTTAGTATCAGTTACCGGTTTATGATAAATTCGTTTGGATTATTTTACCCTGGTTACTTAGTACCTCGGTTAGTGCCATTAGACAACTAATACTGATTTCCATGTGTGTCATGACAATTAGAAAAAGAATAGAATATAGGGACCTATCGTCTCTTGCGTGGTATAGGCTTCTGAACCCTCTTCTACAAGCACAAATTAGCCAGTTAATGAACTTAAATTGATTCGATCATTCCTATTTCTTGTCATGTTTAATAAACCTGACACATACTTATAGAACACTTCATAATATAAATAATCTTTGTCACTACCATACGAACACATTTTACGGCTGTTTTATCACAGAAATAACTAAAAATGTTATAAATAAATAAAACGTCTATACACCGCGAAATCCTAAGATGCAGAAAAAGATCCACTTCACAGAACTGTACGTGCACAAGCGAGGCCACAACCGACTAATCGCAGTATGGTGACAATGAACTGTATACGCATGAACTGGTATACAAATTGACACAATTCTGTCACTTTGTGTACTGCTTAGATTCACAAGACAAAGCACAATGCATTTGATAGAAAAATTTTAGAATTTGTTTCCAAATTTCACAATAAATGTGAGCGAACTGAGCACAGTTCCATTCGGGATGTTTATTGCAAACCAGACGCCAAAACAACATGACTGTGATGAGTTTTACACTGCCGATATCAGATACAACTCGTTGAACTTTAACATACGTAAGTCACCAGATGATCATCAGAACTGAACTGATATTTTCGCACGTTCTTTTGAGCCATTGAATGTAGCTGACTGATAACTAGCCAGCCCCGATAGAAGCGAGTCCATGACCAATCCCTAAGGGAACAGTAAAGACAAACGAGTGTATTTCATTTCTGGTCAGTTAGCCAGTCTGTTCAATCCACAGTGTTTGCACTGTCCAGTCTACTGCCCGCCTGCCTGCCTGCCTGCCTGCCTGCCTATTTGCTTGCCTACCTCTCTCTTCGTAGTACTGTAGAGGACCCTGACTCATTGGGAACTGCTCTTGTTCGTGTGCGAACATGGTACTCATTTGGGTCCCCAATTACACACGCACATACACAAACATGCACACAGAATTTTATCCTTTTATACGTATTTGCTCAGTCAGAAACGATAGAGTGATCAAATCTGATGGCTGATCAGAAATCCATCGATTTTCCGAAACTGTCATCTTTGTTGATAACTGATCTTCAATGGTATCCCCGCCTGCCGTTGCACCAGTGTGATCGACCCGTGTTCACATTATCTCATGGCCATTTCAAAATTAATTCATGGCTATACATCAATCGGGACGGAAAACAGTTCACTCCTATCACAAATTGAATAACTTAGACGAAAAACATCATTAAGCACCCATTCAGCCATTGAATAAATGTACAAATAAACGTTTCAGTTTTTCAGTGAATCTGTCATTCCAAATACTTGAAAACATATTTTGATCTCTTCTGTTCAGGGTCAAATATTACTATGCGAGGCTCATCCGAACGTCAAACTATCCAAAGACATCTTCTACAGCTTGATTGTCAAGTCTTCAGGCAGTGCCACTCGGCTAATACGTCTCCTGATGAAAAGTTTCTTCACTCAAGATGAACTAGCCGCTTCATCTCTGTCCGGTGAGGGAATTTACAAACAACGTCTGGAACCGAGTGTCACAGAGGCGATTAAAAGTAAGCAATTTCTGGATTTGACTCTATGGCTTAAAACTCTTTTCTGATAAATCTGTTGCGGGAACCAGGAAAATAAGAGAAAATCAAGTTCCAATCTGGTGCCTGTGAAACAGTTCTAAAATCGAGAAATTAAGTGGTCATTAATAAAGTTATGCCAATGATGCTGAAGAAAAAAACAAACAATAACTGATCTAACGTTTGTGCTATATGTTCAACAACCTGGTGGTAGTTTGGTAGAAATTATTAGGTTGTGCGTGTCTCACCATGAATATGATGATTTTTGCCAGGCTGGTGATACGAATATGGCACGTGTTTCTTTTTTTCTAATGTGGCATTTGATCGTATTCTGAATGACCAAGGTGCATTCACAAATCGGCAGAAGCGATAAGCTGTCTTTTTTTGCATTTTTTCCCGACTATTACCAAGAAAGACCATATATCAACTGTGGGAGAGCTGAATCGCCTGCGCGATTATTCCTTGCACAAAAAGTGACATCGTGAACTGCAAATCTTCGGCACATATTCGTTAATCGTTTTGCGGGCAGTCGAGGGTCTGGGAAGCGGGAGGGTGATATACACGGTTGTCCTTCTTGTAATAATACTAGCAGTTGTTGTTGTTATCCGTAATTGCACGTGTGTGTCTGTGTGGACTCACATTGATTTAGCTGTCCGATTGTGCTGGATAGGCACTGAAGTGAGTTTCGAGTTCTCACTTTGCCCACCGATACTAGCCCCCTTCACTCGGTCAACATGCTTAGTGGTGCACAAAATACGGTATGCAATCAATCTTACTAAAGCGGATAGAAGTAGTATGCGTGTATATCCGGCTGTGAGTGGCTGTGAGCACGCGTGCGCATATCGGTCCAGTTACCGTAGCTTACATTTTTTCCCTGTGTGAACCATTGTTACCGACGCTAGAATGTGGAAAGGAGCGTGCGGCTATGACCGCCTCTTAGACATTCTGTATCATCTTCGAACACAGGCGTAATTCTGACGGACTAACTAACTGCAGCGGAAGATGGTAGCGGCCATGGGCTAAACTCTGTTGGACTGGACCCAATGGGGCTACTGTTGCTTGAAACCAGTACGGTGTTTTTTCACATACACACATACACACACAAACATACACGTATATCGCTTTAGACACACTGAATTGTGCTCCCATTCATTCACTCATCGTTCGTGAATAATTTACGCCTTCTGTTCATGAAACAGTAGCAACAGCAACAGCAGTAGCAGCAGTAGTATTAGTAGTAGTAGTAGTAGTAGTAGTAGGATTAGTACTAGCAATGTATAGAGTCACCCAATGAACATACTTGGGCTCTCACACCCAACTAGCCAGTCAGTCAGTTAGTCAGTCAGGTAAGCAGTTATCCAAATACTCACCCATCTTTACATCTCCATCCATCCATCTCTTCGTCCATCCACCCACCTACACACAGGACAAAATTTGTCGGGTGACTCACCTCATTTGTGATTTTGTCCCGTTCAAAAGCTGATATGTAATGACAACAGTTTATCTACATTTCGAACAGAAACTGAATTCTGATGCAAGGAGAAAAGTAGCTAAACAAGTGATCTATGCGATTCATTGCACAGGTCAAAGGTGGGGCATATTATAATATATACATACTGCCTAACAAGTTAACATTTGACTCATGATACCGACGTGATGCTAATGAGTACATGCGGTACTGTTCAATTTACTAGTGGATACATTCTGTTACTTCATATACCCATCGAGATTCACCCACAGGAATATTCAATGTACTATCCATAATGCATTATCAGCAAAAATAAAATCATCATCATCCCAATCTTCGTCATCTTGTTGGGTAAAACATCGAATAAGACCTTAATGGGATAAGCATGACATTGATCCGGATAACAACGAAGCAGCTTCTACTTGAAGAGGAGTACTGATGGCAGGTGTTGAACATTGGACCTTCGGACCCAAAGCTAGCCAAGTCTAGTGACTGAAGCCGCTTGTCGACGCCGCCGCGGCCGACTACCACCGTCACATCACCACCACCACAACCAACAACAACAACAACAAATCTTAGCTTTATGCCTTTGCAACAGCAAAGACTGTTTTTCGCAGTGCATACAGATTTCTATTTCTGGTCTGTTTCCTCAAATACACTCAAATCGAGCTACTTTTAGTTTGGAATTTAATTACGATAGTACGATACGAACTAGCCATTATGAACTATTCACTTCGTTAACACCACACACAAACACACCTAGATCGCCTTCAACAGAGATTTGGAAACGTTTTTATCCGCCAAAGTGTACTTTAAGTGAACACTGCACGCCACATTATGATTAAAATCACATACACGTTACGGGCATACACACATCTTGTTCCATCCTATGCTATTCACCCCTCCCCTTCATTTGTCCCTTTTGCGTTCGTCCCTGAGACGAAATCGGTTGTTAAAACGGGAACAACTTTCACTGAGATCAACAGCATTATTGAAGATGAAAAGAAAAAAGTACACACGGTACCTTGTCCTCAAAAACGTGCTCGCTATGGTTACCAGTACACACACCGAATGAAACACCTGCTTGCGAGTATATTTATGTACCTACTAATTCACTCGACCGCACACTCACTTGTGTGTTGTATTCGAAACTTTTGTCATATGAAGTGAAGTGAAGCAGACCAAATAGATTGCCATAGACTTTCCGTTGACGCGCAGTAATTGTGGTAGTACAGTATGA